GAGCCGGCTGTCAGGAGGGTGCAGCCCAGCCCGTCGCCGCCCCGCAGGGCACAGCCTCGCAGCAGCCCGTGCCAGGGTTTTCTTCCAGCGCGCTCCGAGGCCTCTCAGGGCCTGGCTCCAGCCTCCCCTGGCGCTCGTGCTGCAGAAATTAATGGCTGTGACATCACCGACCTCTGGATTTTTTTTACTTAATTCTTTTTTTCACCCCACCCGGGTGGCGCGGCCTCGTGCGAGCGGCTCCTGTTCAGGTTGTGCCGGGCGGACGAGGCCTCTCCGCGGGCCCGCTGGCGTTTCTGTGTGGCCTTCTCCGGAGGTGGGAGCAGCCGCATCCGCGCCCCCGGGCAGAGGGTGACCTTGGCAGGCGGCAGCGGGGCATGGGTGGTGGTGCCATCTTAGCCCCGCTCTGGCCCGGGGATGCTTTCCGGGCAGGCGAGGCCAGAGGAGGCGGGACGTGGGGGAGTTCGGGCTGCTGCTCCGCGTCTCTTGGATATTTACTGCAACTTTCTTTGTTTTGAAAGCCAAGCGGGTACCTTGCAGCAGCGACATGTGCTCGGTGATGCCGCGGTGGGAGGGCCGGGCTTTGTAAACAGAATCCTGTGGAGGTGCTTTCACAACAGCCCTTGGCACGGAAGCGCTTTGGCCGAGTGCTGACATCATGGGGGCTGCAGGAGTCCAGTGCTCGTGAGCTGGCAGCTCCCAGGTTCGAGCCCGGCCTCCTGCTGCCCGCCGCGGAGCTGTCCCCACCTGCCCTGTGGCAGCACCTGGCAGAGTTGATATGGGGGGGTATCTCCTCTGGTCAATGGGCACCCCTCGGTCACAGGGGCAATCCGCTGCCAAGCCCCCCTGTTCCCCCCGAGTTTGGGGGGAGAAAGCAGGTTTTCCTCAGCAGAGCCGCTCGCTGCAGCGCGTCTAGTGCCAGCGGTGATGCAGTTGGTCGAAAGAACCAAGCTAGCTGGCCGGCCCCAAGTCCCGTGTGGGGCATTGGCAGAGCCTCCACCCCTGCCCCAGCCCCCTCCGACCTTTGTGCTTGGTTTGGGGCATTTTTTTAAAGGTTTCGGCAACACCAAATAAGAAACAGGAACTCTGCTGTGCTATTTTTAGAGCAGCTCTTCATAGTTGGGCAGCTCTTGAAAGCAAGGTCCTGGGGCCTGGCCGGGTGGGCGCAGGTAACTCCTGTCTGCCCCTGAGCAAAAGGTAACTCTTGTGTGGGCCGGGTGCCTGCCCAAAGAGGCCTCAGGCTGTTGCTCTCAGGGGCTGGCTTCCCTCCTGGCCCTGCCGCTCTGCAGGATCAGCTGGAAGGGATTAGGCTGGGGTGGGGAGAGGGACAGTGCATGCAAAGTGCCTCCATTGAGGTGCCATGCAAAGCCCATGCTGTTTTGCCCGGATGTGTTAATTGCCCTCTGATCTCTGCATGTCCCGGAGAAGAGGGTGCTCAGGTCACGCTGAGCAGGGTCATGCCTGTGTCCCAGGCTGGTGTTTTTAAATGCTGAGCTCCAGGGGCAGGTCTCCCCTGGTCCACAGAGCACCAACCTGTAGCAGCTGCATCTCGGTGGTGGGGTCAGTGCGGCGGCCACTGCTGGCTGAAGCGGCATTTTCCCCTCTGTCCGTGTTGGGGGTGGACTGTGGCTGATTGTTCCAGGTTCAAATGACTGGGCTGTGCGAGCTCCTCTGCTGTGTTTTTACCGTTGTGAAGGACGCCCGTCCTTAGCTCCTTACGGTTCTGGCCTTGGCAGGGGAAGGTGCAGCCAGGGCCGGCGGTGCCTGCATGCACTGCCAGGTGGCCGGTCCCCATAAAACGGCCCTGTTTAGCGCGTGCTTGGATGATGCGGTTTTGGTGGTTGTGCTAGTTTACTCCTTGCTCTAGTGTTTTGCTGATTTTAATTGGGTTGCTGGTGAACGAGCCTGTCTGATTGGAGCCGTCTGAATGCTGGAGCCCAGCGCTGGGGAGGCGGGAGGTGCTGGGCTTCAGGTCAGTGGCGCAGTGTCGGAGCACGTCTGCCGTGCGCCCGGCAGTCGGTAATGACACGGGCGTAGGCTAGTCCTTCCCGCAGGACTGTGCCTGGCTCTGGCTGCAGGGTGCTGCGTGCCTAGGGAACGAGGCAGCTGTTCCACTTCTCGCCCTTTCTTCTTCCCTGTCCCCTGAGGGAGCCTGGTGCAGTCCTGGTTTTCTGACGAGACGCTAAGGCGCCGGGAGCCCCGAGGCCCCAGGGTGTCTGACCTCCGTGCCATGCTGGGCCGGGAGCACGTGCAGTGTGAGCAGAGGGCGGCCAGGTTCCGCGCTGCCCAGAGCCCGCGGGGCAGCGGGAAGTGTGCGTGTGCAGTTGCCATGTCCAAAGCGCTGTTGTGGAGACCAAACTCGGCCTCGGGGTGCAGGGGCAGCCCCCGGGGCCTGCGAGCACTTCCAGGAACGTGCCCGTCTGTCCCGGCGAGTGTCAGGCAGCTTCGAGGTAGGAGCTGCAGCTGCTGATTCCTAGTAGGCAGCAGCTCGGCTTCTCCGACCTCCCTGTGTTGCTCCTTGGCTCTTTGCAGTCTGTTGTGAGGATGAAGATTTCCAGAAGGATCTTCAATGGCAACCCACCCCCCCCCCCCCACCCCCCAGTGTAGCTTCAACCATTAAGGTTCCCCATTGACTTGAGTTCAGACTGGTCTGGGTAACAGGAGATCCTGAGGTAGAGGAAATGCTCAAGTACTTTTTAATGTATATTCAAGGAACACAAATTCCCAAGGTTGAGATCTTTTCTAGAGGGAAAGCAGGTGATACGCTCTCTGTCTGTGCCTGGAGGAGAGAGGCCATCTGCATGCCCCAGGGCTATGGGAGGCTGTAGGGGTGTTTTATCATTCAAAGACCTCTCTTCACTGCTGAAATTGGTTCTGTTTGGAGACCTTGCCTGGGGAGGGGACGGGTAGCAGCTCTCAGTTGCTGAAAGGCTGCCATCAAGAAGAGGGGGGAACATTGCCGCACAGGTGAGGGCTTGAAACTGCAGCAAGGCAGACTTGGACTGAACCTCAGGAAGACCTGCCAGAGCAGCAAAGCAATGATGGGGCGAGCTGCCTGGGGAAGCAATGGAGTCTCCTTTGCCGAGGGGCATTTGAGAAGCATCTGGATCTACATCTGTCTGGGCTGGTTCAGGAGCAGTGACTTCTGCCTCTCCGAGAGAGGCTGGGGGATGACTCCGGAGGCACGTCCAAGCCTAGGAGCCCTGTTTGGAGATTGCTGCGGTGCCCGGGAGCCGCAGAGGCAGGCACTGCAGATCCGCACGACTGTGCCCAGTCCTCTTAAAACGTGTTCCTTTTTCAAGAGCAAATTTGACCTGCTGTGCCAAAGACTTTGAGTGCCAGGAGTGGTGGCTGGAGTCTCATCTGGGCCTGGGAGTGCTGGGCTGTGTCCCTGCTCCATCAGAAACAACCCACGGGACCTTGGGCAGGCTGCTTCGTGCCCATGGAGGTGTTGCAGGGCAGCGTGCGAGGGGGCTTCTGAAGGGAGGTGCAGGGAAGGTTCTCGGGTGCTCAGAGCCCACCGCACTGGGTTGGACGCTTGCCTTGGGTAGGGGCTGCATGTGTTCGGGCCTGCAGCTATCTGAGTAGCTCTTCCAAGGCATTGAGATCTCCTGCCCACATCTGCAATCTCAGGCGCTCTGTTTGTTCCCCCATTACCTGTGGTGACTGGAAGAGGAGGTGGGAGCTGTGCATGTGCCTCCACGGTTTGGCCATAAACAACAGGGTTTCCTTAGCGAGGATGCATCCTTGGGCTACCCGCTGTGCGGCGCGCAGCACCTGTATGACCACAGAGCTGCTCGTCACAAGGCCTCGCGAGCATCTGAAGCTGAGCGGGGCTGCGGTTGTGCGTACCCAGACCTCCGGTGGGTCCTTGCCAGTCGGTAGAACAATGGGTCGTGGTCCCAAGAGCGAGGCCTGGCTCTGCCTCACAACCAGGATTTGAAGTTGAAGGTCGCGGCAAAGCCTCCGCAGCGATTTCCATTGGCAGTTTGTCATGCTGGCTCAATGTTGAGGGAGAGAAACCTTGCTCGTCCCATGTCCTAGCCTTTTCTTTGCAGTTTGTCAGTTAACTGCATGTCGGTGATGTTAGAGAGGCTTCCGTTGAAATTGCGGATACAGCTAAACCAGGGGCAGGCAATTATTTTGGGCAGAGGGCCACTTACTGAGTTTTGGCAAGCCATTGAGGGCCGCATGACGGGCAGCCCAGGGCAGATTAATATTAATTTTCTAAATTTTTTAAGGGCCCTGCAGGCCTGGCCTGGCAGGCCGCATCCGGCCCCCGGGCCGCATTTTGCCCACCCGTGCTAAAGTTCATATAGACTGAAAAACTGGGGTGCTGAATGATACTATAATATTAGTGCCACTTATGGCAGTCTTCGCTAGAGAAATGCACTGTCAGAATTGACAAACTTCTAAAACAATCTGGGCAGCCTTGCTGTGATGGAGAATGATTTACCTTTTCTGTGGCAGGCCACAGCCTTTTGGGCTAACACACGGCCTCCCCGGTGCTGCCCACCTGTCTGTATTTGGCTGCTTGGTGACTCTTCTGTCTCCCAGAACTTCCAGCTTCTTTTCAACAAATGGCAGGGCCCTGAGAGCAGCAGTTCCAGTCCTTTCCTCACCAACGCCCATTAAAGATCAGAGTTTCAGTCTGATGATGGAACGGCTCCTGAAGACGGTGCGAAACCCAAATATTTTATTCCAAAAAGTCGCATGAGCTTGCTAGCTTCCTGCAGCAGCACAAGAGCTGCCTTCGAAGCATGTTGCAGACCATTTCCAGGGGCAGGATTGGGACTTGTGGTTTTCTTGTGAGACAGTTGCTTGTGAGCAGGAGTTCTGAGATGACTTGTTTTTCTTACTTCTTCCATAGAAATTGGAAGCTCTTTCAAGTACCAGTCAAGCAAACCACAGCCCAAGGTGTGCTGAAGTTGGCAGGGTCAGTGGAGATACGGCCTTTTCATTCGTTTCACTGTTAACAAGCTCTGAATTATTTGAGGAACTAACAAGCAGGCACAAGACAGATCCATGTGGCATCATCATCGTAAACCCAGTGCAAGCAGTTTGTGGTCTTAAAGGAACAGCCAGCGTAGGGACCACACTTCCGCGTAGCTGGGAGTCGCAGCAAAGGTGGCTGCCGCTGAGAGATCAGGAGCAGCAGTTTCTCTGCACCTCCAGCCACGCTTCCCTAGGCAGTAAATGCTCTGCTCCATTGTGTGCAGCCCTTTCCTCTGCTCCCTGTTTGCCCAGGTCTTGAATGCAGGCACTGGGTGTGTGTCTGGGGGAGGGGAGCAGTGGCAGGAGAGAAACACCTCGTTG